GGGGGGGTTTGGGTGGGGGGGGGGGGCTGCGGGGGGGGTGTCACTGGTGTTGGTGAGCCGTGCCAAGCCATGCCATGCCATGAGCTGTGCCGTGCCATGAGCTGTGCTGTGCCATGAGCTGTGCCGTGCCGTGCCACACCGAGCCGTTCTGAGCCGTGCCAAGCCATGCCGTGCCGTGGCTACAAGTCCAGTGCCCCCCACCCCATCCAGGGCTGGGCAGCGGGACCCCCCCTCTCTGCCGGTGGCTCTGCCAGTGGTGCCATGGTGGTGACTCTCCTGGCATCTTCCCCCTGGCAGAGGGGGATCACCCGGGGGCCGCCCCCCATCCCGTGTCCCCCCACACGGCAGCTCCGGTGCTGGGAGGGGGCAGGAGGGGGGCCGTGGTGCTGGGGCAGCCCCCATCTGATCCCCCCCAGGCCCCGTCCCGGTGCCGAGCCCCCCACGGCCGCCCCGAGCCCCCCACAAGCCGCTGAATCCAGAGCCCGTTGCCGGCCTTCCCGTTTCCTCCCGGGAAGCCCAGGCAGCCCCTGCGATTGTTTTCGGCGCCATGTCCGGGATGCGGCCTCCAGCCGGGGGTGGGAGCGGGGCCGGGGGGCGGAAGGGCCCCCGCCATGAGCCCTGACACCACGGTGGGGGGCACGGTGCCGGGGACCCCGGTGACGGCGAGGCAGGAGCTGGGGGACGATGGCGTGTGGGGGACGGGGTGGGAAGTGGATCCTCTTCCGCCCGCCGTGGGGGCCCGCTGTGGGGACAGAGACCCCCGGCCCGTTGCCATCAGCGGTGTGGGGTGGAACCCCCTGTCCCACCCCCTGCAGCCAGGACAGGCTGAGAGAGTTGGGGGGGTCAGCCTGGAGAAGAGAAGGCTCCAGGGAGACCTTGGAGCCCCTTCCAGTCCCTCAAGAAGGGGGGCTCCAGGAAAGCTGGGGAGGGACTCTGGATGAGGGAGGGGAGCCCTAGGAGGAGGGGGAAGGGTTGGACACTGCAAGAGGGGAGATGGAGCTGAGCTGTGGGGAAGAACTTGTTTGGTGGGAGGGTGGTGAGAGCCTGGCCCAGGTTGGCCCGAGAAGCTGTGGCTGCCCCATCCCTGGAGGGGTTCAAGGGCAGGTTGGAGGGGGCTTGGAGCAACCTGGTGTGGTGGGAGGTGTCCCTGCCCAGGGCAGGGGGTGGCACTGGGGGGGGGGCTTTAAGGTCCCTTCCCACCCAAACCATCCTGTGGTTCTGTGATTCCTCTGCCCTGAGCCCTCCTGGCTGCTCTGAGTGACTTTGCTTTCCAGCGTCCACCTCACCCCTGGTGCCAGCTCCCTCCATGGCCAGATCCAGGCCCACCACGGTGTCCCCCCAGCCTGTCCCCCCCTGCGGTTGGCATCCAGGCCTCCTGGGGCTGTGGTGTCCATCGGCTGGGCACACCGAGGCTTGTCCTTCAGCCTCCATCACCCCACAGATGCCATCACTCATGGCCAGGAGCTCCCTCGCAGTGGCCTGGCACGGCAAGCCCACCCTCCTGGTGGCAACGGTGCCATTGGCTGAGCCGTGCCCTCCCTGGGAACTGGGCTTTGCCGCCGTCCCCAATGGGGGGGCCATCTGGCACGGGGGGACCCCTGGGGCTGTGGGTGGGGTGGTGGCTGGCGTGTCCCCACGTTGGGTGTGCACGGTGCCCCCCC